GCAGGAGAAGGGACTTGCTGCTGCTGGAGCCAGAGCCCCCAGAGCTGTTCCTGGGGCTGTTCCTGGGGCTGTTCCCAGGGCTGTTTGGTGCCATGGCAGGGAGTAGCTTTGAAGTCCCTTTTTCCCTGGCGCTTTTTTGTGTTGCTCAGGCCCCTTCTGAAGGCCCCTCTCGTGGTCAGGAAGTGTTATCAGATGTGCCTCTATCAAGCTAAAGCAAGCAATGCCTCTGCCTTAACCATTGGCTTCCTTGGGAAGCAGGAGCCATGCAGCTGCTCCCGACTCTTCCTGCTGTTTCTCTCCCTGTATCTTCTTTCTGTTTGATGTGCTCCTTCCCAGCTCGGGGTTGTGTTGCTGTTTTGGTGTGTCTGTGGGACAATGCCAATCCCCTCTGCTTTATATCCCCTCTGGAATATTGAGGGTCTGKCTAGGCTGCAGAAACACCCGGCAGTGCTGATTTGGCCTCTCTCTAGGGCTGTTTTGTGTTCTTTCTCACTTGCCTTGAGGTGGCCAGGCTTGTTCCAGACCTAGCAGCAAACAGGCGAGARGAAAAGGGGGAAAATATCAGTTCTCTTCCTCCTTATCAACAGGGCTATGGAAAAGGGAAGTGTGTTCCATTCTGTGGCTCTTGGGAAGCCTGTTTTTCCTTCACCTTATCAGTTTGGAAATGTTTTGAGTAGAAGATGCCGTGAAACCCAAGGAACTGGGAGGCATTACCATGTTTGCCTTTGTAAAATCATGACCAGTTTTGAGAGAAGTGAATAGTCCTTTTCTTGTGGGGGTTTAGGGTTTTTTTTCTTCCTTAAACACGGACCTGGTTGCAGGAGGCAGCAGGAGGCTGCTGACTCACCTCAGACTTGCCTGGATCTTCCCAGGAAAAGTGGTTTTCTCTCACCTGACTTCTGTAAGTGGATGTTATTTTGAGATTAGTTCTGTAGCAATAATATGTATTAATACAGCATTTTCTTGTGTCCTGCAAGATGATCATGGCTTATGTGAGATTYCCCATTAAAATATGGAACTCAAGCACCTGAGGCATGCAAGGATTCCTCCTGGGACACCCCATAGCTGSAGTCACGATGGCAAAGCAAGCTGCCTGGGGAAAACTCTTCTGKGACTGGCATCTGGCTGTCCAGGACCATGAGCAGCTCTGTCTCTTTTCCCAAAATCCATCATTTTTAAGGGATTGCTTACTGGCATTCCTGGCCCCAGGGGGTGGCAGTTTGTACCGCCGAGAAGGCGCTGCCTATTGTGTTCTTCAGCAACTTGAAATGGGRTTGATGTGTGTTGCAGCCACGCTCCTCTGGAGCTTTCCCAAAGGGGAAGAAATACTTCCTTTTCAAGTTGAGCAGCACGGAGCCAAYGGATGGAGCAAGACCCTCTGGAGCTGGCTCCCAGCTGGGCCATGGCCACGAGCACCCTCTCCTTGCCAGCCCCTGGGGGCAGGAGGGGCTGGAGCTGTCTGTACCCTCCTCTTGACACTTCTGGCATTTCCCAGGTGCTGGAAGTGTAGTTTTTTCCCTCCCTTGGGGCGATAATTCCCTGTGTTTGGTAAGCTGAGGTCAGGGAGTGGGAGGAGAGCGGATCTGCAGCTGTGCTGGAGCATCAGGGTCCTGGGGCTGTGACAAAACTCGTGGGCTCTGTGTTTATTTGAGAGCCTGAAATGACTCCTTGTAGAGAAGTTGTGCTGGTCAGGATTCCTGGAAGGGCATCCAGGGATTGGGTGGTTTCTGTGGTGTGTGCCAGTCAAACTGGGTGAAAACTGGGTGAGAACTGTACAGAGAGCTCCTTCTCCCTCTGGTCAGGCTGGTGGGACCAGCATGGCCTCATGGTGTGTGCCTGCAGAAAGAATTAGGGTTTGTAAGGAACAAATCTTCAGGGAATTCGGTGCCAGCCAGCCCCTAACACACAAACACYGGGTATCTGAGAGACTCCTTGTCCGGCAGGAGCTCAGGAACTCGGGAATGGCTCTGAAAATCCAACAGGGGAGCTGTGTGATGAGAGAAACAGCAAATGAAAATGGTYTATCTATATTAAAGCATTGCTTTAACTGTAAAGTATTTACCAGGAATCAGTCCATAGGATGCTTTTCCTCTCGTCCTGTCCCACCCTCCCAGGGCATACGGACTTCCCACAGCGAGGGGCTGCGTGGGTGCTGATAGGAACCTTCGGAGCATGAGGGGGGAAGCAAACAAACAAACAAGTCTGGAGGAGGGAAACGATTAGCCGAGCCTCAGCTGGTTGTTTCCCCTCCTGAATGGCTCTCTTTCATCAGGATGTGTTGGGACAAGTGCTTTTTCAAGCCAGGATATCAGTGGAAGACACAGTGTTCCCTAAAAGCCATCCAGTTCCCGGGGAGCATCAGCAGCCGCGATTCCTCTGCTCCGCAYAGAAAATACGGTCGACCTTTTCTTTGCCTTCTGGTGTTTTTTATGGGTTTAGAAGCAAAAGGATGTGAGTTTTACAGCTGGTTATGAATCTTTTCGAATTCTCTGACTTCTGTCTGACGCTGGGGCCGGCACGATGCTGCCGCCGCGCAAAGAAAACCGGCCCGAATTAGTATGTATGAACCACTGGATTGGGCTGCTTTGGGGCATCTGTCACCCCTGCTGAGGGGCAGAGGTTGGGGACGTTCTTTAATGACAGGATTTGGGTGTTCTTTAGGAGAGGTTTTTGTATTTAAAAAAAAAAAAGAAGCTCAGAGTTTTAGTTGTTTATTGGAATTGCAGATTTAAAAGGAGGTTGGAATCTCGTGCCTTGCCTTTCTCACTCGGCCGTGTCCAGAGCAGTTGTGTRAAGTGGCAGAGCGAGCGCAGAGAGTTCCCAGAGCCAAGATAAAGGCTGGGGTTGGGTAATGTTGTTACAATGTGGTGTAAACTSTGAGCAAAGAGGCGTTTGGGTGTGTTCCCTATGTTTGGCACCSTGCTGGGCACATGGGAACAGAGCTCGTGTGGAGATGGGCAAGGCTGGGGGTACGGGAGATGTGCAGGAGGGTTGTGTGCGGGGTGGAAACCTTGCTCTCAGCAGGCTCCTGGCTTTGCTTTCCAGTTCATTTCCACGCACATGGATACACGGGAACAAAAATTTTGCCATGTGAGTTGTCCTTTTCCTGGACCACTTGCTGCTCCAGCAGCACAGCTTTCCCTTTTGTCTGCAGCTGGGAATATTCTGCTTTATTGTCACAGATTTCCTGGCTGCAGGAGAGGAGAACATCTGGTGAGATGAACCATTAGGGCAGGAGTTCTGATAACTTTGGGAAGGAGCTTTGTCTTTTCCAAGGTTTTTCCTGCTGTAGAAATCCTAGTCAGTACTTTAAGATCAAAGATCCTTTGGGGTAAAATATCCTATTTGAGTATATATTTTTTTGCTTTCCTAAAAAAAATTTTCCTCAAATTCTTGGGATGGGAATGCTATGAATTACCTCCTTGTACATGATCTAAGCATTCCCTGTTTCTTGTGAGCGCTGAATATCCTTTACATTGTGTGGGGGTCGCTGCCTTTGTGTCACTTCTGGCCTTTTTTAACGCTTTCCTGTGAGGTCTGGGGTGAGAAGGAAACAGGGCTCTTCCTGGCTGGCCCCTGGAAGGAGCCACATTCCTGTTTGCAGCCGTGGGTGCCGTTATCCCGAGCCAGGCTGAGCTGGGATTGCAGCAAACCCTGCACGATTCCTGCTCAGACACAGCCAGTGAGSTGAGGGGAAGGGTGAGTGCTGGAATCCTGTGAGAATGGAAGTGGAGAATTGGTGGAATTAGAGTGTGTGTTTTATTGATCTTGTGAAGCCTGGAATTCAGGCAAAAAAAATTCTACTTCATTTTGTTAAAGCAACTGAAATCTCAAATTAAACCTGATCCAGATTTTTCTGGGCAATTCTTGATATTCAGTTGAAAGAGGAGGAAGCTTTGCCTGGGAATTTGGGCTGTGTTCTTTAGAAACTGGAAAATSTAAAATGACATGAATTTCATGTCTGCCCTCACAAAAATGCTGAGGTAGAGCAGAGCGTTGGGAGCATTAACTCTCACTGCTGCCCCAAGGCAAAGACCATGGATAAAATAAGGAATAGATGAGTGCTGGGAGTRGTGACTCCAGTGGGATCATTTGCTGGAGCATAAGTAACTCCTGTGTAGCACAGCCCCATAATGGAGCATTTCTATTTAGTAGATGCAGACAGTAATTAATGGTGATCTAYGGCTGCAAGCTTGGGGCGCTGGAAAATTGGGCTTTGGAACAACAAATGGCTCTTGTGCTGCTTTGGGAGTGGAGGAAACATCCTAAGCAGTTCCTGTGCAGCTCAGAGGTACCTCAGGAGACASGGATTTTCAGCCACATGGGAAATGCAGCTTCACTGCTGCTGGCCAAAGCTGCTTCTGAACCATTTCCGAAATCCGCGTGTGCATCGRGGAAGGGCAAAATTCAGCTGTGCTGGTGCTGTTCTGCCCTCCTTTCATTGTGTTCCAGCCCTGGCTGTCATTTCCCTCTGAAAATGTCATTGTGTTTGCSCACACTCTGTCCTGGGATGCTGATCCAGCCACAGCATAGCCAAATCTCTGCTCTTGGTCCTAGAGCTGTGTCCTTTCCCTTGGGTTCCATCTCCCCTCCCCTTTAAATCTACACARTTGCAGGTTCTTGTTGTTACATTCYAAAGAAATGTCAAGAACTGGAATCAGCCGGAAGTGATTGACTCGGAACCTGCTCTTCAGTCCACTGCAGGTCTCAGCCTGTAACAAGTCCAACCCTCTGCTTCTTTTAAGTTGCAGAATTCCATAATCAAGTGATAAAGTCATTTCCAGCCCATGACAGCTYAGGCAAGTATCTCCTGTAGGGGCCAAGTAATAAAACAGTGGTGGAAAATGACAGATGAATAATCCATGAATAATCCCAGAGGCATGCTGTGCAAGTGGCTGTGGCAAAATCYGACTATTTGTGAGGAAAGCCCTTCCTTCCCCAGATGTGCACATTTTGCTGCTCTTTCCTTTCAGTTGATTCCTGTGTTGTTTTTTTTCCAGCCTCAGCGAGAGCTTTTTCATGGTGAAAGGTGCAGCCCTTTTCTTACAGCAAGGAAACAGCTCCCAGGGTCAGCGAAGCCTTCAGCATCCTCACAAACATGCAGGTAATGGATTTAATCACCTCTGGAGATCCTTTTCYCCTCCAATCTTAAGGGACAGGCTGATGACACGGGTGGGTGACTCCCCAGATTGTCCTGGTGGGCCTTGTACAACCTGCTGAGCAAACCTAGAGTTTCAGCCCACATTCAAATTATTGRGTGTTTTATTTGGATCATTGATTTTTCATTTAAAATTTTATCATTCTTTTGGAACTGGAAATCACAGCATTTTGCATGGCTCTCTTTAGGCAGGGGAGCCTGTGGAGCCAGAAGGGCTGTGTGGAATATCTCTCCCTGTTTTCCCCAGCCATGGAGGAGGAAATGTCACTTGTGCTKCAGTGATTTAATCTTTGCCTCCCCTTTGGCCTGTGGGGAGGAAAAGTGGCTGGGCTGAATCACAACACTCAGCACCCCTTGGGCAGTTGTGGATGTTCTGGACATTTCTCCAGGGGCTCTCCCAGCCTCCAGTAATCCAAAGCTTGGGACTTTTTGCTTTGAAACTTCCTGTTGCTRGCTTTGTTTGGAAGTTGCTTGTCAGAGTAAGGGATGTTTGATCAGGATTGGGTATGATTTACGTACATTTYTTAGCTCCTCATATCCTGGTTGCAGGAAAACCCCCTTTCCTGTCAGCTCACCACAGYCTGTGGGAGTTTATCACAGTTTAAGAACAGACTGTCCTGCTTCCCCCAGTCCCTACCAGTTGCCAAACTGGTGGGTAGAAATGGTAGGGAGTGGTATGGTGAGTGTACTTACAGATTTGGAAGCAGATAAGGGCATTCAGGGAAGTGGTTTCTCCRTCCCCAGTGTTTTATACCTTCTGTCTTTGGCAGCTGGGGAATATGTGGTTACTGGGCAAGAAAAACTGGGATTTGGGGGCATTTTGAGAGCAGGAGCCTGTGGGAAAGGCACAGTGTGGTACTGTGTGGTGCTGCTTAGCAAACACTCCAGGCACAAAGGGGGTGTTTGAATGCCAAGCTTGGCTTTGGGTTTCTTTAACTGTCAGCAATTCCATATACCCAGCAAACAGCCCACGGAAGGAATTTTATCTCGCATGGAAAGTTATGAGTGCATTACTGAGTTATTAGATGGGAACTTGGTTTGTTTTCCTGTAGATTCCTTGTTCCTTTCATCTGCTTTCCTCAAACAGAAATGTCCCCACAGACCTAGAGCTGAAGGCACTTGATACATGAGCACAACTTGGAGGCAGAAGGGCTCCATCACCCAAACCAGGCCATTCCTGCAGCTCATCCTCCTGGAGGTCACTCRTGCTCAGTCACACCCTCTGTAGGGCCAGTGGGGCTGATCCCACCGTGCTGAGGGTGATTCACAGCTCAAAGTTGTTCTTTTCTTCTTTGTTTCTGTTTTTTCCTCTTCTTCCTCTCCTGTTCTCATGGCGAAACCTTCCTGTCCTCTCTAAGGTGCTGTGACAGGAAGAGAATCCTCTACTGTGCCAGGCACAGGTGGTCCCAATAGATTTGGTGGCTTCCAAATACCATAAGGTTGGGTTCTCACACATCCAAGGAATGCCCATCCAAAAATCWCACTGCTGTCAGAGTTCTCTGYGGCAGCAACATTAACTGGCCTCCCWTAAATGGTATTTTTTGACTTAGAAACATCCAATTTCTTTAAAGGTCAAAACTCTGCTGATTCCTAATGCAGCAAGATCCCATTTCTGATGATTGCTCTGCTTTCTGTGCAGGTGATTTGCCCCAGCACCTCCAGGTGATGATCAACCTCCTTCGCTGTGAGGACAGGATCAAACTGGTAAGGACAGGTGCATTTTGCTGCTCTCATTTCTGTTGGAAGTGTTTGCAGCAGAGCTGTAAAGGAGCAGGATAAAKATTGGCAATGCATAGATTTCAGAGGTGCCTTAACTCTGTGCTGGTTTCCAGCCCTGCCCCATTTTCCTGAYCACTCCTTTTTGCCCTGCTCCTTGTGTCCAGGTAATGAGTTGGGTCAGGGAGCTGCTCTGCCTGAAACGTGTWGTTCAGTTGGATTTAATTTTCCAGACAGCTGACAAACACAAATACAGGAGGAGAGACAGGACCTTGCTGATTCTCTTGGACACTTTTAAATCAGCCTTGAAATTGCATCAACTGGGCTGGGCTTTCTTTTGAAGAAATCTGCAGATAAAAATCTGCTGTAAATTCACTTYTCTACAGAGAAGTTGGTGCCAGTTGTGCCTCCTACAGGACTGACCTATTTCAATGAAGATTTAGGGGTGGAAGAATCCTCTGAGCCTGCCTATCTTCAATTTAATGTTTTTACACTTTCTAGTTGAAATCTTAGAACAAACCTTTGGGTTACATTTTGTAGCATTTCCCCAAACTGGAGCGGGTACTCTCAGCTCATCTTCCCCTCACCAAAATGGCAGCAAATCTTGCTGTATCATCCATGATGCACTAAATAAAGCTTTTGGGTATAACCAAAAYTGTAAAAGTGTCGTGCAGCAGTGGCAGCACTAACGAGGCAGAGGTGGTTTGCAGGCTGTGCGTTTGGAGAGCGTGTGGACCGACCGCGTGCGCTACATGGTGGTGGTGTACAGCAACGGGCGGCAGGACACTGAGGAGAACATCCTGCTGGGAGTGGACTTCTCCAGCAAGGMGAGGTGGGTGTGAGCTGGGAAGGGMTCTSTGGCAGTACAAAACTGCCCCCRAGCAGTTGGGTTACCTGCATCTGCAGATTCCGGTGAGAGAAAGGATATGGGGTTGAGTTTTCTGACATTTTTGTTACAGAAAGGTTTCTGTCTCCGTGGAATCCAGGGCTATGGCATCCACCTCACCAGTGGTAGTTTGCTGCCTGCTCCCTGCAAAATGCTCTTGCAGACACATTTTAGAAACTGGAGCTCATTTTCTCCCCCAGACTCCAATGTGTTGATGGAATGATGCAATGGAGCTGCTTTTGGGGAGTAGCTGAATTGCCAAATAACGTCAAAAAACAATACTGCAAAAGTAGCTCCAAAACCAACAAACAAACTGTGTCAGCAACGAGCTGTTCCTTTTGTCTGACTGATAAGAGCACACAGTATTTGGAAAAGCAAGTGAAATATTTTGTTATCGCAGCCCCTCTCAGATTATTCCAGTTCTGGTGAGTAAACCAAGGCAGAAAAGCTCTTGGCTCCAGGAGACAGGGCTGCTTTGGCAGAGCTGCAGTCAAAGGCTGGAGCTGCCAGGCTGTTATGTGTGTTCTCCTAGGATTTAACAAGCTGCCCTGTCCTGCTGGTGCAGCCACTGTGAGTTTTGTTTCATTCTGGAAAATTTTAGTGCTGGTTTCCCCAGGAAAGTTGGAAGGGGAAGCTTTGCACAGCAGAGAGATCTATAGGGAAGTCCCAGGCGTGCCTTCCTCATAAGATTATTGTCATTGGCTTTGATGCTGCCTCTGTTCTGCTCTGAAATTCCTGTTAGTGTCATGAAGGAAATTCCCACCTGGCATTCCCTTGGTGTGCTACAGCAGTGAAAGTTTGCCATGTCACCTCCACCCTGAAATAAACCTTGCAATAATTTGCTGCTGGTGATTATTGATGTGAGACAAGAGGAAAGATGGATTTCTGTTGCTGTCTGCATCCCAATTGCCTTTAAAATATCTCAATAGTTTAATTATTTACTGCTGGAGGTTCCGGGCCTTCATTAAAGCAGGGTTTTCTTGCCAGATTGCCTGTCTGAATTGAAAGTGTTCTTTTGGGTCAGATAAACCCCTAAAATCCATTTTTATCTGTTCCACCAGCCAGAGTGATCCCATGGAGCAATCACCATGAGTTATCACCTTGTCAGACCTTCAGGCTCCAGCCTCCAGTTTTGTTTGATGGCCTAAAATATTACAAGGGATTACTAGAGCAAGGCTTGAGGATTTTAAAAATTAAAGAGTATTAATAATTTAAGCTATTGGCATGACCACATCRTGGCCTATATTTAACATCCTGTCTCACCATCTCTCTTCCAGTAAAAGCTGCACTATAGGAATGGTTCTTCGCCTGTGGAGCGATACTAAAATCCATCTGGATGGGGATGGGTAAGAAACCACATTAAAAGGATAAATGTGACTGTCCTTCCCTACCTGGGGGCTGCTCTGGGAGAGATTCTCCATCACCTTGCAAATGAAGTGCCCATTTTGGATTCATGGCTGCAGAGTCCTCTTATTCAGACAGTGAGTTCTTGTCTTGCTGCCCTCACACTGCTCAGTGGGACCCAGTGCTTCCAGGAAATGCTCTGAAACCCCACTGAGGGCTGGAGCTCCCATTCCTGGCAGCTTCTTACAAACCATTCTTACTTGGGAGGTTGGAAAATCAGTGATAGAAATTCTCATTCTGCCTCATTTGGCCTGTGAGTGCCCCGGTGCAGTAAATGTTTGTAGAGAGCAGAGAAAAGCAATTGGGGTGCAGAGAAAAGTAATTTTTGACTTGATTTTCCCTCTCTCCATCAGTGGCTTCAGTGTGAGCACTGCAGGGAGGATGCACATCTTCAAGCCTGTGTCGGTGCAAGCCATGTGGTATGTGAGGGGCTGGGCTCGGGGAGAGGCTCTTCTTTCTGTCAGTAAATTTAAAAACATAATCAGCTGCATTTTAGCCTTCTCCACAATGGGTATTTAGTGAGCTGCTGCAGAGATCTGCTTCCCTGTGTCAGCAGAAGGGCTGTGGGAGTCCTGATCCCTCCTGATCCCAAACCAGGATCTGCTGCTTCAGTTCAGAGTAGCTCTGCATCCTTCAGCATGGGGGAAGTGGCACCARGGAGATGAATAAATATGAAAGAAGAACTTGAATTCCTGGAGCTGCAGAATTTCCTCTCTCTGCATGTTTCTCTCACTGGCTGATGGAGGAGGTTCAGGGCCTGTTGCCAGCCTATGGCATTCACTATGTCCTACCTTATTCCTGGGGTTCCTGCAGCCCCGGGTGCCTGTTCACCTTTCAGCTCCTGCCACCCCTCCCCTGATCAGGGATTCCAAACCCCTGAAGCAGAGGTGGCTGAGTCAGCAGTGCCTGAGCCAGCAAATTCCTCCTTGAAGAGGCTGCTCCACATGGAACTGCGTCTCCCTCTGCCTGGGCAATGTTCTGGCTCCCCTTGGAGCCTGGAGAGATCCCTGTCCCTGCAGCATCTCACAGGGAAGAGATGCAGATATGAACAAAGATGACAAAGATGTTGTGATTTGGTACAAAAATAATTCAAACTCCCATCCCTGTTGGTTTTGAATTTGGCCCSTCCTGTTGCCAGCCTTGGATGTGGTTGATGTGTTCAGGACAAYTTCAGAGTAGAGCCTTAAAGAAAGGAAAAATTGAGGGAAGGAAGGAAAAAGTAATGTTAGGATTTGCAAAAACAAATGACCCAATCTGAGCCTTGTCCCTGGAGCCTGTCATGGGCCAGGAATGCTGGTAAATATGCATCAGGCTCCTTGCTGGAGGTGGTTGGAAAATTGTCCCYGCTCTTTATCTTCCTTTGGCTGTACAAGTTGGTTAATGATTACGTCCCAGAGCGACTTGTGCCTCCTTCTTTCTGGTTAATTAGGAGAAGATTTCAGCTTCTGCCTTGGCCCTGCTGTGAAGAGCCTCCAAGGTGCAGTTTGTGCCTCTTTGAGCTCTAATGCTATAAATCTGCTGCTTTCAAAGAGCAAATTGCAACAACCAGTGCTGAAAATCACTTTTCCTCTGTGAAATTCTCTCAGATCCTGCCGTGTCTGCTCAYAGCTGCCCAAATCTCTTCTCCCACCCTGCAGGTCTGCTTTACAGATCCTCCACAAAGCCTGTGAAGTTGCCAGGAGRTACAACTACTTCCCAGGAGGGGTGGCCTTGGTGTGGGCCACCTACTACGAGAGCTGCATCAGCTCAGACCAGAGCTGCATCAACGAGTGGAACGCGATGCAGGACCTGGAGTCCACCCGCCCCGACTCCCCAGCCCTCTTTGTTGACAAGTCAGTGCTGGGTTTTATTTGGAAAAGYTTGCTTGGCTCGTGAAGGAAATCTCCC